TCAGTTCTGCAAGGATGCACACATGTATACTGTTCCATTGACATGACTGCAAAAGCACAGTGAAAACAATTATGTCTTCCTTGCACTGGTTATTCTCATGGTAACTCTCCCCTCTCTACTGTCTGTCCGACTCTTGTCTTCCCTTCCTTCAAAGTTGTCTTCCAAAAATAGATACACATTTCTTTTCTACACTGAAGCAACAAAAATATGGCAGATGAACTAATACGATGCCAGATGATGCTAATCTATATGTTAAACATAATTTATCGGTCTTTTTGCAAGTTTCTTCTTCATTTCACCTTTTTACCTGCTTACCTATGATGTACCTAAGTCACTTAGGTTGTGACTTCTTGCAGGAAGTGTTTTAATGTCTTTTTATTATTATCATACTGCATACACTGTGGAAACGCAGCCCATTGCTACTACTTACATCTATTATCTCATATGCTGAGAAACTCCTAACATTTTCAAAGAGGTTACTTCCCCGCTTAAAAATTTCAGAAAACTTTATCTGGGCCTGCTACTTCACAGGTCTGAATTGTGTTTGTGGAGTGTTTTGAGCTCTAGTTCGTTGCTATAAAATGATTTCTGCCTCATGCGTCTTCCTTTCTGGTGTTCAGACCAAGTTGTCCTTAAGTTGAGCATCATTATTGTAGGTACAGTTGTACTTAGAATTACATATTTCATCAGGGAATGAAGCACTGAATACCTCTTAGAGAAGTTAATGGAATAAAATTGTTTAATTAAATTCTAACTTTGAGAATCCATCAGAAAATATGCTGCATCATTCAGGCTGTAAACAGAATGCTGCTTCTAGCCACCTTTATAAAACAGGCTGCTAAGTGCACTGTTATTCCTGGACCTTCTCCTAAAGCTTTGCATTGACTTAAATAGCCCAGCCCTAAATAATGTGCTGCTTTGTTATGAGTCCGTAAGGAGTAATTTTAGGTAAGAAGCTAGCTCCTAAACTATCTGTAAGGCAGTCCCCCTTCCTGAGCTTCAGTAATCCTAAACCATCTGCTTTGCCTCCCAGCTGAATGTGTGGGGATGAGGACCATCATGTAACAATAATACCTGCTGCCTCTGACTCACTACAGCTCCTGCTGGGAGAAGTGCATTTCTCTGTGCCTGTGAGAGCTGCCACAGTGCAAGGAGGATTCACTGCCAAGTTCAGATTTTTTAGTTGTAGTTTACCTCCCTTGCTCTTTTCGTAATCTTTGAGTACTGTGGGCGAATAGATTATGGTGTCTGAGGAGACTACCTGCAGAAGCTGAAAAAAGTCTGTATTCATGCTTTCAGGAGTATTTCTTGGTGGGAGTGTTGTATTCTCTGCACCACAGGAAAGCGCAAACAAAGCCGAGTAGGTCTTGCTCCACAGCACAAATGAGATCTGTGTGAACAAACCCTTGTCTGCAATACGCCTTTACCCAATGAACATTCAGCGCACAGACACTGGCAGTCTTGAAATCGCTGGGGGGAAAATGATCTGAAACATTACCATTTACCTTACAGCTGCAGCTTTGCGTCTTGAAACATTGACATTTCACCTGTAATTTAATCTCTATTGTTAATGTATCGTGGAAACTCTTTTCCCTAGGCACTAGACCATCAGGCTGTGTATGGAGTCTGTCAGCAAATAATATTACTAAACACCCATGTAGTCTTATAGACATTCAAAAAAGACATAGCCGTACATACAAAAATAGATGTGCAGCTCTTTTTCAAATTACTGCCATAGTAACCATCTAGATACTGTCCTGAGCAATAGATAATTATCTGTGTGTGTATATATATGTAATAGATAATGCATAATGTAATAATAACATAGAAAGAAATGATTTTATAAAACCACTTCAATTACTTGTCATGTACGGTGGATTTAACATGAAGCTATTTTCCACAATGGGAGGATTTAAATGCCACGTTATTCAGTTTGAGAACAAAGAGATTTTCAGTTTATGTGTTCTGTGTACATAGAAGAGGCAGCAGAATGGATTCATTGTGCACAAATCATGGCTAAGGTGGTGCTGAAAACAGCACAGGAGGTAGTGTGGCTACAGGAAAACAACATTTGTTTATGGACTTCAGTGTACTTTTTGTGCATTTTGAGAGTGAGCAGTGATTAGATCTGAACTCTACAAAGAGTGCAAGGGGCTTGGTGGAACAGGTATGATTAATCTGTGTTTGGTTGTTAAACTGACTTAGTAATAAGATAGTTATGTGGGTGTATGTTTTATCATTCTTAAACTCAAATTACATTAAGCATTATGAACAGTCAAATAGGATAATTAGATTTACAAATATGTCAAGCAAATATTCAAGACTGGTTGCATCTGTTGCTTATAGAGAGTGAGATTTGACATGCAAGACTTTTTTCTAAGAACTGTACTGTAGATACTATGTTCATGGATAACTCTTTGCAGGAGAGCATTTAAATCTTTTAGCATGGAGAATTTACAAATTAACCCAAGGATTGTATGACATTATTGATCATATTTTTTCACAAGTTTTTGAGTAGCTGGATTCTTTTTTAACATACTAGTTGAATCACACACTAGTGAGTCTGTTCTTTCAGCGGTCAGCAAGTTAGTTACCAGGATACTGAGTATTACGAAGGCTACCAGCTAGATACTGGTAGGATGATAGGATGCAATCAATAGAAAGTTATATGACATCAAACTTAGCAAGTAATCACGTGAAAGTAATCAGCTTGGTGATATTTCACCTTAATAATGAATGTTTTAAAGAACTTTCCTCTATATGAAATACTGTGACCTGTTTGCAAAGAAATTTAAAGTAATAACAGTTCAGTATTCAAATATATGCTTTTAGACATTATAGAAACCCACAGCATTTATACCTGTGCAAGCAAAAACAATAGGTACAGTCTGCTCTCATGCTTTAAGATGAAGGGGAACCTGAAGAAAATACAGCATTAACACTAGTTCAGTACAGTATGGGTTTTAAAGAAACAAGTATTTAATGACTCATTACTGCAATTACACAGTATTCTTCTTATATAATGTAGTGGCTGTTCTTATATAACAATATGCCCTACAACATAATACAATAAACTTTGAACTTGCTGTGCAGCCTATTGATGAGTAAATAGGCTGAACCCATTTTTATGATGACATCATCCAGTACAAAAAACAAACCAAACCAGAGATCCTTTAGAGGCTATGAAAGAACTTTCTTTTCCCATATTTTTTAAATTAAGGGCAAAATCCTGGCATACACTGTGGTCAATGTTACCAATGGAAGCAAGATTTCATTTCCAATGGAGAAAGCAGGAAACTTTTCAGCATACTCCCCTTGTCTCAGTTTTTGTCTCTGCCCAGGTTTTTTAAATTCAGTTCTAGAATGACATATGTGCTGACAATACTCAAATAATCTTTTTGCTGTATTTTGAAAGTGTTTAGCATATTTTAGTTCTCTAAAATGGATTACATTTGTTATCTTCTTTCTTTTTTTTGCCTTTTACTTGTGTATGATATCCCTAAAAAAAGGTTTGGGGATCAGTCATCCCAAACACTTTGCTATGCAAGAGTGCTTAATTAACACTATGACTGCCCACTGAAGTCAGAAATGAGCCACAAATCTTAGTTCTGTTTAGATGTTTGTTGCATATGCTTGTCAGTGTGTTCAGTTTTATAATAACAGGCAATACAAGTCATCAGGACAGGGGAATGGGGAGGTTTTACCTATCAGTGGGAGAAGTCATTGTTTATAGGTCAATTAAGTACAGGATTTGACTCCTCTCCCAAAGTAACATTTACATTACCAAAGAGGAAAGTTTTGGCACTCCTGCTAAAGTATCAACAAATGGCTGAAAGGTAAATATATTTTTGAAAGTGCAATTGAACCTGCACTCCTCAAGGAACCTAAGGAGATTGTTGTAAGAGCTAACATACTTTACCAGCAAAGGTTATCTCTGAGGAATGCAGCCTGAGACATAAACACATGAAAAGACAAAATTTCTCATGAAGTAGGTCAAGAAAATGCCCACCGTAAATCAGTGGTCATAGGAACATTTTTTTGTGCTTGGTGATTTTATAAGAAAATTAAATGTAAATGTTTGGTTTGTTTGCATTGATCTTTGTCTTTCAAAAAGCTTTCTGTATATTATATGTAAATATTTTTATCTTTTTAAGTTTGCTATCAAAATAACTAGCTAGTATCAAGGCATTGGTTGTTATTTTTCATCGAAGAGTGTGACAAATCTAGAGAACAAAGGCAGTGGAAGATAGAGCGTTTTTGCTTCTCCTTTCTGAAGATGTTTAAAAGGGAGAGTTAAGGACCAGGGGAAGTGGGACAAGAGTGTATATCAGAAAAAAGCAACAGAAAGTTATACATATTGGCAATGTTGATTGTATGCAATTTATGTGAATGTACAATTATTTTCTAAAGGATAATCTTACCCATTGATCATGTCTGACCTATCAGACTGCCAGCCCTTTTCGCTTTTCCTAGTTATAGTTGATGGAAGCTAGTATTGTGACCTTTCTCCAAAACTTTATTTTCACTTCCAGTCTTCAGCTGAGCAGCCTTCTTCTTCTGTATGCTGAGCAACTTACATATTTTTTTAACATCAGTCTCCCAAGTCTTTAGTTCATAGGAAAGTTCAGAGAACAAAGAAGCCATTGTTGGAGGCTGAGACACCACTCAGATCAGTTCAGATCATTTGCATTCAAGTCAGTTGCCTGGAGACACCAGTTTTTGATATTATAGAACTTAACTGTTCTGGTTTTGGGAAACTGATCACTAGAAATGGGAAGGGAACTGTGTTGTTAAGTTTGCAAAGTGTCATGAGAAACACAGATTGATGTTCTCTATAAACCTAAGCACGCTCAAGTTTAGCAGACACTTGACTGTGTGATTGCATGAATACACCGTTAATGAAAGTCTTACGAGGGAAAGGGACTCTACTGTCTGGGTTAATATAAAGTCCTTGTTTTGCTTCTATAATTAATTTCATTTTATTTTCATAAACGTTTTAGGTGTATCAATACATGCATGAAACCATAACTGTTAATGGCTGTCCCGAATTCCGAGCCAGGGCCACTGCAAAGGTAGGATATGTGCAACTGTTGAAATATGTGTTACCAAAGTGATCTAGTAATTGACTGTGCGCGTGTGTGTTTCAGGTATTCGTGTGTACACTGTAAGAAAATTTAGACATCAGTGGCAGCCCAGAGTCTAGAACCAGTGCTACTTCCCAGGTAACAATCATAATGGAAAATTTCAACCTTTATGCTGCTTCTGTAGCTTAAGAAAAGAGAATGATTTTATGGAATATGATGCTTTTTGAAAAGTTGCTTTGCAAAAGCAAAACTGGTTCATTCTGTAGAAGTCTGCCTGCAACAACCAATATTTTAAGGGACTATTTTCCCATACATCTCATCCAGAGAGGACACAATTATTTGGGAGATAGAAACTAAACAGTTAAAATTCCCCTTTTGAGTAATGGAAACTGTAGGTACTGAGCAAGTGGTAAGGATGAACAATGAGAGAAATGGCCTGGTCAACGTTTTTTTGATTCCATAGTCAAATGCAAGCCTGGTTTTTTTCTGATACGTTGCCTGTTTTTTTTAAATACATTGTGTCTTTGTCCATGAGGACCCGCCTTTCTTGTCCTTAGACTGTGGCAGCTACACTGCTGCTGTTACTAAGATGATAATTTTCTAGGGGAATTCATACAACCATGAAAGAACACATTCTATGTGCCAGTATGAAATATGCTCTGTATTTTTATAACATGCCCAAAGATAGATGCTTCCAAACAAGGGAATCCAAATGGATTTCTTTTTCCCATTATCATTTTGTACGGAACAGTATCTTCTATGTGGCATAGCAGATTCTATGCAAAATAGGTAAACTTGCAAAATTGATAAATCTTTTTTAGAGATACTGGTTTATGGTCCATTCCTGTGGAGATAAACTCCCTGAAATCCTAATGGAACTAAGATCTTACCATTATGTATTTATGTTAAGAGATTTTAATTTAAAGCTGTATCAGAAGGTGAAGGTTGGGAGCATGTTACAAAATTATTTTAGAGTACTTCAGAGAAGCAAGCTCTATAATAGCCACCAAATAGCCTAATATACCTTAAATTACAGTGTATTTTCCTTATTAAATAGGACATTCTTTTCTGTAGGCTGTTCTGATTTTAACCTTCTAAGTGAAAGTTAATGGTCAATGTAAATTTGGTAAGTTCTGTGGTTTTATATAGAGAAATGTGTATATGAAATCCTGATTTGTTTACACTGCAGATAAATATAGAAATTATTGCTATGTTATTTAGTAAATGGGGAGAAGTCCAATTAGTGTTTCCCATTCTCATTTCTTATTCATATAGAACAGCAGGTTACAGAGCAATGTTTCAATATCACAATATTTCCTGGTTATTTCTGGGCTGTCTGCATTTCATCCTCCTAGTGCATTCATGTCTGACATAAAATGTATGCATGATGACAAGTTCTGCATGTGCAAAAACATGTAATTGAGAATGCTCCATTATGTCATGTCATCCAATTGCTTCTATTAAGCATAAACATTTTAGAATGCTTAAAAATACTAGTGTAATGTAGAACTGTTGAAGCAGTTTGATCTACAAGCACATGTTGAAAAGTATAAAAGATTTTCTTAATGTTTCTTTACTGATTTACTAAGATCTATAAGTAAGAAAATGGTTGTAGTGAAAAATGAAGTAAAAATGTAACATTTTTCTGGATGCAAGCTTTACAGTCTGTTACTTCTTTTTTTCCTAGAATAAGATTAACAATCTAGGATTTTTCTAATTGATTTATATATCTGCTGTCTTAAGATTTAATTTTTCAATAAAAATTTTGATCCAGTTATATAATAAAACCTCCTATTCCTGTTCAGGAGTTACTTTGTGAGATTTCAAAAAGATTATAAATTAAACTTTTTAACAGAAGAATATAATTTTAGGATTTAAAATAAATAATTCCATAACTCTTAAAGCAAAGCAAAGAGTTAACAATTCAGTTCATCCACTTTATTTCAATTAGGAACACATTAGAGATCACATTATCTTATCCCACAGGAATAGATTTTCTTCCCATGGAAAGGCAAAGAAGAAATGCACTAGTGATCATAAAGGTTCGCCACCACAGAGTAAGGCTTCCCAGGGGGCCTTCTGGCTTTGCTGCTAACTTTTTGTGTTATCTTTGGCAAGTCACCTGAACTCTGTGTTCCTCTGTTTATTCCTTTATTTCAAAAATATTGGCATAGAACTTAATATTTTTAAAATACTTTCAGAAAATCAGAAAATGTCAGAGTAAGATACTGAAATGTTTTCACAGGAAGGAGATCTTCCTGCAAATGAGCATCAGTGTCTATCACTGTTCTCCCTAAATAGCCAAATCACTCATTTTTTTTCTTCCAGGCAACAGTTGCTGCATTTGCTGCAAGCGAAGGCCATTCACACCCGCGTGTGGTGGAGCTGCCAAAGACTGAGGAAGGCCTGGGCTTTAATGTCATGGGAGGAAAAGAGCAAAATTCACCTATTTATATTTCTCGCATCATTCCTGGAGGAGTGGCAGAAAGGCATGGTGGGCTCAAACGTGGGGACCAGCTGCTTTCAGTTAATGGAGTGGTATGTGGAAATTTGATAGCGCTTTCATTTTCATCTGGATTTTCATTTTTCACATATTTCTAATACCATGATTTAAAATGCAGCCAAACGAAACAAAAAGAATTAGCTCTGTGAGAGACCCTCAGTGTGCATTTGTGATGCAGTGAGGCAAAGCTCCATTGACAACTTTGTGCCACTACAGTTCCTGGCACTGGAGAGTGCTTGAAGAGCTTCATTTTGAATCTGTACCACCTGCCTAATTTACAAAGAAGCTATGTCCTTAATTGATAATTTTCCTTTTGCAGTAAAAGCCTAATAACAAACTGTTTTTCTTTCATTTCATAGCCTCTGAGGCACACAGCCCTTTCTAAGCACAGTAATGCCGCGTGAGTGGCACTTGTGCAGTCTTGTGACCTTCAGAGCCTTTGAACACATAAAATCAAAAGAAATTTGGTAAGCGCATTTGGTGCTGATTTGCACTGGAAGGTTCATTCTAGATTTCTTTCAGTGACATTCATTGAGCTGTCTGATGATATCTTTGTTAGAGAAGTCAGCTCTAGAAATGTACATATACAGGGAGATGTATTCTCAGTAAACAGGTACATTTTTTACTTATTAATTTTTTGTGGAAGTCAAGGTGGAGTATTTTGCAGTAGTTTTACTGTGAATATCAACATGGAGGTAAAAATAAAAGGGCTGTTGGAATAGACAGGACAAGGCTCTGATTCCACGATATGGTCAAAATCTGCATTTCATTGCTTTTGTTCCCTTTTACAAGGGAATGTAAAGTAGTGAAAAGATAAGCAGACTTGCTCATATAAGCCTACACTTCCCTTTATGAAAATGTAATCCTTTTTGTGTAAACCACCATCTAAACCTCACATTTAAATGCACCAAAGGCATGAAGAAGCAATTTCTAAATCCAGTCATAAATATAAGACTTTACAACTTAAATTTCTTCTTTGTTGCAAGCCCATAAACAATTTAAAAAATGCCCTCTTCTACATGCTTTTGTGTTTTCGTCTGTTTCTCTCAAAAATATCCTCTTTCTCTTGAAAAAATATTTTTGCAACACTTCAGACAGACTTTTTACCATTTCTTATATCAACTATAATGTTCTCAAAAGAGAAATATTACTTCTGGAAACTGTCTTGCACCAATACACAATGAGAAAGAAAAGATACAAAATAAAAAAAAGAAAAGCTACTGAAAGTAATTTAGTCTCAGAGAAAAAGAAATAAACTGAATATTTCATGAAGTAAATTGCCTGAACTTCACTAATTGGAAGTAGATCAAAGAATTTTGTTGTTCAGCATTTCTTCCAACAGGTGAATAAAAAGGCAGACAAAAAGAGTTTTAATTCACTAATTGATGGATGGGTTTGAAAAATCCTTTTACTGTCAACAGCATCTAGGCAAATAACAGAAAAGAAAGTGGTGAACCTTCAGATGTCAAGATATATTTAATATGACCCTCTTGTCACCTCTATTTTATGAATCTCTTTTCAAAAATTTCATGCGTGTGCTCTAGAATATATATTAAGGTAATGCAAAGAACCGAAAAACCGCAATACAAAATTCCCAGTTGCATGTAGACATGAGAAAGTTGATGTAGAGATACAAGAGAAATATTTTTGTGTTCAGAATCTGAACAACAGAATTTGAAGTTTGAATTGCAGTTGCATACTTGAAATAATCATAGAATCAAAGAATCATAGAATGGCTTGGATTAAATGGACCTTTAAGGTCGTCTAGTTCTGACACCCCTGCCGTGGGTAGGGACTCCTCTCACTAGACCCAGTTGCTCAGAGCCCTATCCAGCCTGGCTTTGAGCACTTCCTGGGATGGGACATCCACAACTTCTCTGGGAAACCTATTCCATTGCCTCACCATCTTCACAGTAATGAGCAACTTTTCAAAAACCAATTTTGGGCTGAATTAAACCCAAATATAATTCCTAAAAAGGCAAACATTATAGAAGTGATTATTTGTTTGCAGACAGCTTGAGACAGGACAAAAAAGATCTAAGTTAGCGTTGTTCACTGGGACTGATTCACTCTGTGCTTCTCTTAATTTAGGTGGAGAAAAGCAAATAATATACAGTATGTACAATAGAACAGACAGCTCTACAGTGGAACATGAGTATCTGTAACTTGTTTGTGCTCAGGCATTGATGGTTATCCAACTTCATAATTATCAACATAAAATTAGAGCTGTGTGTTCAGAATCCAGATTTGTTATCTGAGCGTGACTGAGATGACTGTTCCTTGAGCTGTTTCAATGTATGTTAAAAAATAGTGTTTTCTCATTATACTGGGGATTTTGTTACATGCTTTTGTCCCACATCCCTTAAAAATAAAGGAAATTGAAAGCAGTAAGCCCTGCAGATGGCTCAGCAAAGGCACTTGCTGATGCCTCTTCATATCTGGCAAAGATTCTGCATTCATCAGATACCTTGTGTGAGTCAGAGGAAGGATGCAAAATAGATTTATAATGGCTAATTTGTCACCCAAGTATTTCTTTAGAGATACCTAATAGAAATATTCTTCTCAGTCTCTCAACTTGTGGGCTAACAGATTTTCTTTTTTGTCTGCAAGAAAGTGGGATTTTATTCTTCTAGATTTATAACAAGTCTGTGAACCAGGATACAGTAATTGTTGGTGTTTGCCTACACTATATCTGCAGTTCTTTCAGCTGTTCTTGTCTCTACAGTATTTTGCATTCCTCTCTTTGATGCAATCTGCCGATGCAATAATGAAAATAAAAGAGTAAATATATATAATTAAAAAATTACATATTAAGTAAATATATGTATTCCAAAACAATTTTATTCAATCCCATGTTTGGTGGGTGGCTCTAAAGTAACATGAGTGTCAGATCCTTGCAATGTCCCCAACCAGCATAATGTAGTCAGCAAAGTACCTTATACAGGAATGACTGATACCAGCAGGAGTCCTTTGCCAGCACAGCCTCAGAGGTTTGCAGAAGTGGAAGAATTCAAACAGCAAAACAACTTCCTTTGCCCTTTCCTTTCCCACACTCCAAGGGACTCTGCTATGTCACTTGTGCAGCTCTGTTATGCAGGGTTTTTAATGCCTTGAAAATAGGAGTGCAAGCGTCAATGAAGACATTGAGAATAAGTATAGCAATCACATAAATAGCAACTGAAAACTGTGGCTGTCAAGACCTGAGCGAGGTGTGTTCAGAGAGTAGTATTTGTTTTAGCAGTGCTATCTTTGCCTTTTTTATTTTACCCTCTTTGGTTATGGTTCAGAGCATTAGGCTTAATTCTGTACCATTACAATCCAAGTCAATGGGAGTTTTCCATTGACCTGGATAGCAACAAAGTCAGACCCTTCATTTCTAGTGAGAAAATACTGTCTGTAAACTGGAAGAACAAGGCCAGAGGCAAACAGGCGAGAAAACAGAGAATCATTAATTAAATGCAGTTTACTAGGTTGAACAAAGTATTAAAATACATCATCTTGTATTCTCCTACAGAACAATCACAATTGCTTATTGATGTCAGTTAGAACCATCATGTAGCTTGGGAGCTTACAATGTTTGTTCACAGCCTGTTCTAAGTTCCTGCTGTTGCACAGCAAAACCAATCACACCACCACTGAATACACTGTTGTTTCCTCTGAATGTCCATGCCAGGCCATACTGACCACGATTTACAAGCAAAAAATGAAATACAGAACAAAGCCAAATTTTGTACGGTTTCTCTTAAGGCGAGACCTGTATTTACAAAAGCCAGTATCAGAGCCAGTCACAAAGAATGTGCTTATTATAAAAGAGAGCTAGTTACAGCATGAGTTAGTTATGATCATGTCTTCTAACACTGTTGAAGAGTTATGGGCTAGGGGATGTGGGGAAGAGGTTTTCATTTGTATCTGTGACTTGTTCATTACAGCAGTTTTACAAAACACTGTGTTCATCTATAGCTTTTTATTTTGGCTCTCTTTAGAGCACTAGACACATTAACTGTTTCTTACGCACAACAATTTCCTTTTTTTTCCAAATATTTATAAGGAAACAACTTCTTTCTCCAAATTAGTTTTTCAGTAGCAGTGCTTGTACAGCTGATTTTTCCCAATTTCTAACAAATCTGGTCATCACAGATCATGAATTTTCTTTAAGATCTTTGGCCCTACTGGAGGACTTTCATGAACATACAGTTCAAAATTTGTATTTTGAAGTATTTTTTTGAAGGTTTTCTCTGCTTCTGGTAATTGTTGCAACACCTGAAATGACATTCATTATTTCTCTGATGCATTGATGTTTTCAAAGCATCTTAAAATTTCTGTAGAAACTTGAGTCCAGTCAGTTGACTCAGACATGGGTTTGAGTCAAATATATTATTTGTATTAATATATTGAAAGATATTTAACAGGAGAAGGAAGATAACTAGCAAGGCAATAAGCTGGAATTGTTTATATTATCTATGTAGAAGCATTTGTATCTGCTTTTTGAAACTTTTGAATCATTATTTTTAGCTCTTATTGTGCCACAGCAGAAGTAGTTCTTATTCACTGTTCTTGCACAATACTACTCAGTCAAATAGGAGAGATGAAAATAGAAAGAGTTTTCTTCTGGCAGTTGCTATAACAAGTTATTCTTTTTGCATGAATTGAACTTCAAATATTTTGAATGCTGCTGCTTCTCCTTGGAAGTCCAGAAGCCTATGGGTATAGGTCCACTTTAAATAGCATGGTATACATAAGAGTTTTAAAACACGGCAGGTGGTAAAACTTTGATTTATTTTAAGTGGAAAGAAAATTACTTATTTTTAGATAGTCTAAAATCCATGCGAAGATCTCAGATGTGCAGGCTGTTGGGGTTTTTTTCTGTGCAGAAATACTTTTGTTTTTTGGAATATATCATACAACACATGTGGACAATCATACACCATTAAAAATTTCCCTCCTTTTTTTTTACTGTGTGGAGCAATCCACATGCCTGAAAAGCACTCCATTTAGTCCACTTAATAGTAGAAATTGAACACTCTTTTCACAGCTGGGTCACATCCCTGTTTTGGAAATATACTGTTTCAAACAACATTAGCGTAGAAATCAGAACTTAAGCCCCTTTGGGAATACTTTTGATTTCACGGCAGATATCATTTTACTATAAAACATTTTCTGGAAAGGGAGGAAAAATACATATTCCTTTAGCAAGAGCTTGTAATGTTTCAGTTGTTTTTCAGTTTGATTGCTTACAACTAACTAGATAAAGACTAGTTTATTTCCAACAGAGAAACCATATCACATAAATGTTAAACGTGAACAATGCCATTAACTTCCTAAGACACGTGTTGTCCTGGGGAGCAGCAGGCATCCTCCTCCACGTACAGCTCAGCAACTTGGAAAGAGAAGGCTCCAGGGAGACCTCTGGGCAGCCTTTCAGTACCTAACAGGGCCTACAAAGGAGCTGGAGAGGGACTTTTACAAGGCCATGTAGCGATAAGACAAGAGGGAATGGCTTCAAACTGAAAGAGGGTAGATGTAGATTTAGATTAAATATTAGGAAGAAATTCCTTACTGTGAGGGTGGTGAGGCACTGGAATAGGTTGCCCAAAGAAGTTGTGGATGCCCTATCCCTGGAAGTGCTCAAGGCCAGGTTGGATGGAGCTCTGAGCAACCTGGTCCAGTAGAAGGTATCCCCCTGTGGCAAGGTGGTTGGAACTAGATGATCTTAAAGGTCCATTCCAACCCAAACCATTTGATGATGATGACTATTTAATCATCACATGTCATTCCCTGTATGATCCAAGCAGGGACAGGGCATAAGAAAGGAACTGCTGTTTCAATCTCTCAATTTCTTCATTTCTTACCAACATTTAAGTAGGATTTTATTTTTGTACCTTGCAAACAATTTGTTTGGGGTTTTCGACATTATTTTTGTGTGCAAAAAGCTTGTTGAATATCTCCCCTCAATTTCACACAGATCAGAAATTAGATTTGTAATTGTAACCTAAAACAGATTTAGGTTATTTTAAATATAAAAATTAAGACATCCCCAGCAATGCATAGGTCTCACTTAACACTTTCTTTTAATGGTCCCTTGAAAAATGTCAGGTGTGGAAACTTCTTAAAACTTAACAGCCTTTCCGTATGAAGAAGACACAGCTTTAGATCAAAGTACCATTTTCATTATTAAATCTTTTCTCCGTGCTCCCAGAGTGTGGAAGGAGAACACCACGAGAAGGCGGTGGAGCTGCTGAAGGGGGTGAAGGGTTTTGGGGTCCCGGTGGTTGTTCTGGATGGGGTTTTTTTGGGGTCTGGGTGTTTTTGGGGGTCCCAGTTGTGTTTTTGGGGTCAGAGCGTGGAGGGGGAGCAGCACGAGCGGGCGGTGGAGCTGCTGAAGGCAGCTAAGGACAGCGTCAAGCTGGTGGTACGCTACACTCCCAAGGTGCTGGAGGAGATGGAGGCTCGCTTCGAAAAACTGAGAACAGCCCGGCGCCGACAACAGCAGCAATTGCTCATTCAGCAGCAGCAACAGCAGCAAACTACACAGCAAAACCATATGTCGTAGGTGAGAGGATTCATTGGTCTTCCTTAAAGTCCGCTGACAGCACCCTGACACAGCCTGGGCCAGCTGCTCCCAGGCATCCAGGGGTCTGTCAGCACAGCGTCTGACAGCAGGGCCCATCCCAGCCCCAGACAGGAGCAGGGTAGCCATAGGCCCAGGCTGCCTGGGGATGGGGACAGACTGGGCCATGATCCCACAGGTAGTCCAGCTCAGTGGGACCCCATGGCTGGGTGGGGTAGGGCTATGGGGAGCTGGAGACTGGCCCTGCTGGAGCATTGCTGGGGCAGGGGATGATGGCCCTGGGGGCTGACATAAGGTCCTGGGCTGTGGACAGGGTGGGAGAAGCCCCAGGGCGGGACAGTCAGGAAGCTGGAGGTACCCTTGGGGACCCAGCAAGCACTTATCTGCAGTCAGGATGAGGACAGCTTATTTGATGCATTGCCACATGGTTTATCCCATTAAAAATACATTTTGAAAATAGGTTAAAGGCACTAGCAAATTCTGGAGCCAATTTCAAACTAATAACCCTGAGATCAATATCCACTGTGCAGCTCTGGCTTATCTGCAAGCAAAAGAAGTCTGTAATTCCTAGGAACATTTTTTGCATTAAAAACCAGAGCATTTATGACAAGTAAAAATATGCCACCAGATTTAGACACAGTTCAATGCATTTTCAGCTAATCAGTTGCCACTCTGAAACAGAACATCTGGATTTGCTGGTGGTAGATGAAGAAAACTCTTCCTAGTCCCTTCCCTGCTACAGGGAACCCAAACTTCACTCTGTGGTTACTCTGCAGGGCACCTACAAGTGCTTACTTCTCATGTACAGGTTTGGTAGGAAGTATTTAGTTCACTCTTGACTGACATTCAATATTGGAAGAGCTTCCAAGAGGTTTGCAAGTTTCCCAGTGTAATCAAAACATCTGACATGTGAGGTTAAGAGATTCAGTTTTTCTGAAATCAGTGAAAGTTTTTGCCATTAATACATTTGTAGCTTTGCTCTATTTGCCTGAACAAAATCTAGTTGGAAGCATGTCCCAATGACTTACATTCCAACCCTCTACATCTCCCTCCACATCTCATATCTATTTGTTCCCAAAACAGGATGTTTGGACTAATGTGAGTCCAGAGGTGACTCAGAAAGTCCCCAGATGGTCAAAAGCTGAAGCTCATCATAATGATTTCATTGTTATTAATGTTAGCACTGACCTCTGCTGATATGTCTTGTAAACCCCCTGTCCTGTAATCACGAGAATTCCAGATTTGTGGATGCAAACAAAGGCTTTGAGTGGGTTCTGAATTCCACCTTAGGGCCTCCACTCAGACAGGAGGTATAAACAGTAGTATTTCAGTAGGGTTTCTGTGTAAAACAAGGCCATTGCAGGACATGGACATACACGTGAAGTTTTTAATTTTTTTCAGTTACCTAAATCTTTTCATTAGCAAGTAAGGTATTTTTACTGATTTTATTTTTTTTTTTTTAACTGGAAGGGAAGAAAGGCAAGGCAAAGAGAGCCAGCAGCTTAATTCCTCAATTCTTTGTGCTTGATGTGAGGAATGTGTTTCTTTAATTCTAGGTTATTCTCAAGGAAGAAAAAGCCTCAATCAAGAGTTCAGTAATCAAGCAACCAGAGCTGTACTTCAGTATTCCAGCAAAAGGAAACAACTATGTGAAACAGAATTCATCTGGAGAATATACAGTACAAGACTGATGTAGTTAAGTGAGCCATACAGAGGGTACCTTCATGATAAGGCTTTTCAGCACACAGCAGTCACAGATACCTATTACTGCTGTGACTATTCCTAATGAGAAAGCATGATTGGTAAACCCCATGAAACAGAGAAGTCCAGAGCTTCCAATAATTCTGTTTGATCTAATCTTGCACTCCTTACTCTGACAAATTTGCCAGTTGGCTTTCTTTAGTCACTGAAAATTTTGTTCAATGAGGTTAAGATTGGCTGCTTTTGAGGACAGGATCTTTCTCTACCATAGTTATCTCCAGAAATGTACATCTACATCAGTTCAAAATTTTGCCACAGACATCAAACTTATATATCACGCTTCATAACCACTTTGTACTATATATTGTAGAGCTGTTTTAACCTAACTTCCTGTTTATAATTTTCAAATTTCCCTCTGGAAATAGCAATTTACTATATTTATAAAGTATTCCATTTGTAGAAGCAATTGGCTTTTTACTCTTGGTGTTTCCATATATTTTATTATACATCAACAGAGTGAGAAAGTTTTAGGTCAGCTTTAATTTTATTAGTAGTAAAGTTAGGGAAGCCTAGAACTGTATTTTTAAACTTAGGTATTGCTTGTATCTATTATAGTTACTATTCAGAAATCTATAACTGGATATATTATATATTTATTCCATAAAATATATATTGTCTGAATGTACCTTTTAGAGAAGTAGGGTCTTTGCTTAGCATGTATTGCAAATGTGGTAAGCTAATGTTAGCAAAAGACCAAGCTTTGTTAGGCAGATATTACTGTGATTGCATAATCTCTGCATTTCTGTATTTTTTAATTTATTTTCTGGTCTAATGTTAATGTATTTTAGAGAGGAGGAAGTGTAAGTTGTTTCTTTTAAGACTCACACATTATCATTTAAATCAATTTGAAATTAGAGTTCTTTTTTTTTTAATTAAACCAAATTGGAATGTGCAAAGAAAATCTATAACTAAGTTCTTAAGTTTACATGTCTGCTTTTCCAAAGAAGATAGTCAAAGCTGGAAGGCTATAGATGTCATCTACTTTCAAGAAAATAAGAAAATGGGCCCCCAAATCCTGAAAAAAAATATAAGCATTTTCACATGCCTTCTGTGCTTCATTAGAAAAGACTGGGGGGAAAAAGGAGCTTAGGGGAGAACCCTACAGTCCTTGCATGTTGAAAACTCCAGCTGATGTCAGTGAAAGTTCAGTAATGAGAGGAATGTAGAAATAGTCAAAACCAGTGTTCTGGTTGAGAACTTGGAACAAAGTCAGAAACAATTAGTATTTTGAAGGATCTATTCTCAAACAGAGAAAGACAAAGGAAAACAGGGGAAATTGGCAGTATCATAGCATATGTTAGAAACCAAATGCAGGCTAGCCAAAAGTCTTGACAGTATTTGATTAGTGTAAGTAGCCATTAAAAGGAAATTACTGTATTTTTAAAACCAAACAGCATGGATTCATCTCGAGAAGCTTCTTTTTATACCGAGAAGTAATTCTATCCAGTAGTCATCAGTGACAATATCAATTAAGACAGTGGAGTTTGAGAACTATCAGAGCTGAAGATGAAATATATTGTATTGTGCTCTGCACAGTGTCTTTTTATACTTAATAAAATTGTATGTACCTATTTTAAAACTGTATTCTCAAACAGACGTTGCTATTAATATTGACAGTATATAAATTGTTATTATGACTGCATATAACTGTTCTGTATCTCATCAGTATGATTTGAATTACACTGATAGCTGCATTTTCAGAGACCAAGTATTCAGATTTAGTTAGCCCACTGTACTGCATTTTTCCAAACTGCCTCTCCACCTCTTCCCCTCCTCTTCTTCAAACAATTTGAGTGGAATGTGCTGATTAATAAATTTCAATAATAGACTGTCATTCATATAAAGAAGCATATCAAATTCATTTTCATATATTATTATTCAATAAATTATTTATACACACTAAAATTAACATTCTAGTCTTTGCCAACATTTAACAATAAGATAAAAGAAAAATATAAGTGAAATCTAACTGTCAATGAATTTGAAATGGAAACAGGAAGAAATAACTTACTATCACTTTTCATGCCCCTTACTGATCAATAAAACATAGCCACTTAATCACGGAATAATCTCTGTCCCTAAACCTATCACATGCATTTGCTTGTAGACAGTATTTTCATTTGTGATTTAAATGTCTTTGGTCTGGATGCAGTAAGGCACTTCCACACGTGCATTGCTGAATTAGTACCCAGAAGACATGCAGGGAGGACAACACTTTCCACATTCAGGCCTGCAGGTATTTGTGCATTGTGTTTTAACTGGCATTTGCTGTTCCACTACACTGAATTAATATTCTTTCAGTGAATTTAGTAAGTTTTATTGCCCATATTTACCTTTGGGGCTCTCTCATGTTTCTCTGCACTGGCAGCAGACTGAGGTAGGAGATCCAAGAAGCCTTTTCTGTCTTTTTATTACAGTAACCAAAGGAGTGTTTACACACTCTTGCATCATGTTCCCTTATGCCAGAGATTCAGATGCAATATCTAATGATAACAGAGAATGCAGAGTTAGTGGCATTTACTTAGAGAAGTTGATGGCTCTGCTGTGCTAGCCCTAGTTTTTTTGTTTGTGTCATTTGATCTGACTGGCACTTTATAGGGCGTTGAAGGGTTCCATAGTCCTTGATAAGTGAAAAGCTCACCAGTTTGTATTTTTGTCTTTTTCTTCTACAGTGAAAAATCATAGATGGAAGGTCAATGAATGCCCATGAGTGAGAGAAATGATGTAAAAATCTACCTGCAGTTCCCTCGTGAATAATACTACAGATCTCACAGACCTATACGTTGTACCTTGTGCATGTATTTATCACAGCCAGGCTCCCAGTATGACTTAGGAACCTTTGGGAACTGTTGCAGAAGGCTCGAAATTATATGCCTCATTTGCACTAGAAGAAACTGTTTATTCATGTACTAACTTTAGGGATTTTAGAGTTTTAAGTGAAATTAGGATCTTGTGAGCAAACCAAGTTCCTAGAATAAAAAAAAAGCGCTAAACAAGAAGGGGAGTGGGTTTGCCTGTGTTTGAAATAAAACAGGATTTTAAGCATAATTTTAAGCCTAAACCAGAATGTATTATGTTCACAGAAGATATATTTTATTACAGGTTGAACGCCTGTTTCAGAAAGTAGCAATTCTGTCTGAATCGTTCTGCAAAAGAAAACCAACCAATCTCCTAATGCAGAACTGTGTCTACAGGTGCTTAGGGGACACTTCCATGTGTAAGCAGTGGATTATTATCTAGAAGTAGTACTGTCCTTGCATAAGTATTAGTGAGACCATTTCCATAGCCAGCATTCAATAAAATAAAACAAGTTTCAAACCAAGAGAGTATTCTGGGTCAGTTTGCAGGAATGTGCTGCCTGCTGCAATAGATGTCTGATGAGAAATACAGCCCACTCACTGTGCTTACCCATGAAAAGGTCAGGATGAATTGGGGATGTGCTCAAACATCTTGCAAGTGGACCCACACTCACCCTGCTTGTCTGTGAAGCGAATGCAGTTCCTCTACCTTCAGTTGTCTAAAATAAAGCTGCAGAGTTTGCACTGATTGTTTCCAAAGTCAACAGAGAGAGGGATCCATCGAATAAGATTCAACCCACTTGTATCTGACATATATCTTTAAATAGGATAAGGCATCCTGTAAAAAAGTTTATAAGCAGAGCCACTGACTAAACAGCCTAAACTACTAGCTTGGAATAAGTAATGTCTTTGGGGGGATGGGAGAGAGGTTGCTGCTACACTCATACACAGCTTCAAAATAAGTAAATATCAAGCCTCCAGTGTTTGAATTCCCTAATGTTAGACCTCTACATGCATAGCTCAGATGAGTAAGAGGTTCTGGTTTGTAAGGAGGTTCCTGTTGTTACAGATATCTGTTCTGAAACATTCTAAGAAATGTAAGAGCTCAGCACAGATATTGTTAACAAAAAGCTTTGGTTGCAGTGCATACAGGAGAAGACTGTAACAAGCTTCATCCTGGGAAGGCTAACAGCAGAAGTCTGTACTGCCACCCACAGCGCTGGGCTAGTGTGTGTGCATTTTACAAAACCTGCAGCCAAAAAGATGAACTACTGCTTTTGATTTTAGGTTACAAACAGAGATACACAAAAATAAAGCCATCAAACTTGCAGCATAGGAATTTGCTATAACAAGAGTCATAGCAAAGCTTGACCAGTTCTGAAATCTAAAACCTGCAGTTATTTAGGATTAACAGATTAAAAGCAGATGTCTATAAGGAACAGCCAAAATCCAAGAGGAAGAAAAATGCCATAGGGGCTTAATCTCTGATCAGCCTTTAATTTACTTTCTTATAGTTAGTTTCACTCTTACCAACTCATCAACCACAAGGGAAGCTTATGATTCAGCAACTGCACTTATTTTTGTCAAAACCATAGAGAGCTGATAGGGTAGAGGAATACCTCTTCCTTTCCTTCCTCTCTCTGAGACTTGTGTGAAGCTGTCTGCTCCAAAAAGGTGATACCCAAACACATCCCAGTCCTACAGAGAATTTCTTAATTAGTCATATTACAGTTTCTCCCCACTAGCAATTCTCAATGTGTTTCCTCGAAGTGAGCATGTTTTATAGATTCACAAATTCATGTTTATTTTAAGGAAAAGTCTGTGTTAAGCCTGAAGCTGTAAATCTTGCCCAGCCTTTTTATTTTGACATCCCAAACCAGACCAACAGTTACACTTGTGATAATCTAGTTGGGAGCCTGCGATTAGCTTGTAAACTGGTCCAATATAAAACTAGATCCCAGGATTTGCTTCTCTAGCATTTCTGTTGAAACAATAGACAATCTAGACCTACTTGAAAGCATTACACCATGAATTCACACATATGCAGTAGGTCAGAGTCACTGTGCACACACTGAGCACCNGATTAGCTTGTAAACTGGTCCAATATAAAACTAGATCCCAGGATTTGCTTCTCTAGCATTTCTGTTGAAATTGAAGAAATGTAAAAGACAAACATGAAGTACAACTTCTGAAGTACAGAGAGTAGCCAGGACAGCACTACAGAAAGGGGAAGATACTTGGGATTTTTCGCTCATACATGAAAACTTCTCTAGGAATACAGAATATTATTTTTATCTATACAAGTTACTTTTCTATGTTGGGAGGAACATGTCTCTGAAACCATATCTCTAATAACAGATTTGGAAAGAGCAAGACAAGATGCTTATCTAAAACAGCATGGGAAAAATTCAGGGTATGTTAAGGTAACCATGAACAATTTGGTGGGTAAGGATGGGCCCAAGTCAGATGAGAGTAACTCAGAGATACTTCTCCAGTGATCTCTCTCCTATCCCTCCACTTCTCTGACCTGCAAATTCCCTTAGACAAGAGCCCAAATATCACCACAAAGCTGTTCCAACTCTCAGTATTCCCCTACCCTTCTTTCCATGCAAGTTATTTCTGAGCTGAGCAGTGACCCTTTTTGATCCCTTGCAATCTCCTCAGCCAGGTGTGGCATTTAGATTTTGCCATATCTACCTCCTGAACTGCTCTGCTCTTCACTTGCATGCCCTATCCAGTAGCTGCCCTCTCATGGCCACCATTGTCAGCTGTCTTACTTGCCCTACACAAAATAATTTTGCTAGTCCTGAAGGAAAAAATACATTAAGGAGGTAGAAAAATGGTAGATAAATCTTGAAAAACTTTTTTCAGGATACACCAGTAATGTCTCTTCTTTCCTGAGTCAACCCCTTTTCAGCAGATGATTTTTACCTCCCTCCTGATAAAGCACTCTGCAATGACACTGACTGTGGAACAGCCATACACCCTTCTCTTGCTGAAACAATAGACAATCTAGACCTACTTGAAAGCATTACACCATGAATTCACACATATGCAGTAGGTCAGAGTCACTGTGCACACACTGAGCACCTGATGATGAAAGGTGATGAAAATCCAGCATTCTGGCATGTCTGTTTGGAATTTCAGAGGTGGAAATGTGGAATCAATTTCTGGCAATGTCCTAACATTGAGTCAGAAGCTTCAGCCATCCAGTCTGAAAGTGTTTGTATTATTAAAAGACATCCAGGAACCAATATTTCATTTGTTTTGAAATTCTATTTCAAAGTGAGTTTTCAACAGTAAACAATGAGAAAGCAAGACCCTTTTTTAAACTCCTGGGGATCAAACATGCAGCGCATTATTAATTTCTGTACTAACTTCATGCTTCAGATGCAGAACTTCCACAGCACCACCTTTCAAGCCTAGGCTTTGTGCATGTTGTACTTATCTTGTCTGTACTATCAATATCTTTCTGTCAAGAAAGAAATTAAACTATTTACCATTGTGCCTTAGTACCCCTAAACGAAAACATAAACTTGACTGCTTACTTGAAGGGGGTTTAAGCAGTAATTAACTGAGACTAGAGTTTAAGTGCTGACTAGGTCTTCTGAAGCAATATTTGTCTCCACTGTTCTATATTGCAGTATATCACGTTTACTGCTCCGTTGTATGAATATATCTGTGTGTCCTTAACTACACTCGACTACATTCAGTGGGCAGTGCCACGGTGCAGCTCGCAGTTGAATAAATAAGCTAAGGGAGACGCCTAGTGTAAAATGATGCTCATGGCACCTTTAGCGGCTCGTTCCGGTGTCACTGCTGCGGGCTTCTTTTCTGCCAGCGTTAAAAAACTACACAGAGATATATATACAGCATTCATTGAACATATATGCACACATTTTACAGTGAATGGACAGTTTGGAAAACTGAACTCCATTTAACGTGCAATAACACCACATAAGTGAATACTCTGTGTGCTAAGGATGGCAAATAGCAATGGGATTACAGCAATAGAAGCAATATTCTTACCCGGATAATAATTCTAGGATTAATGTAAATATTGCTTAATATGGTTAGTGGACTGCACAGAGTCAGGTTCTGATCACACTGC